TAAAGCAGACGTCATGGATGCTTTTTCCTGATGGTCAGTCCTCGATAGGCATTATTTTCAGGTGATGCATCAGAAGTGACGTAGAACTCCCCTTTACCACCCAACCTCCGGCGATGTGGACGCGGTCCGAACCTGTCCCCATTGCCATCGCACATTCACCTCACGCATCGGCCTGGTCGGTCATGTATGAGCCCATCGTACTGCGACAGACACATAAGTGCCAGGAACCCTCACAAGCACTCTGTCTGAACCGTTCATACTGTCCACGCATATCCACACACCGCATGAGCCTATTGGATCGCATGCGCATCCATAGCAACAAACGATCTATGGATTGATTGTAGAAGCCATTAGCTAGTGTTTTGAAAAAAAACTGTTTTTGAGACATATAAACACGAATTTCGGGGGCGTATTGTGGCAGACGCCGTCCGGGGTACCGCGCCAAACAAGACAGAGTTTTGGAAGGGGCAGCTGGCCTTGGTCACCCTGGAGACGGGATTCATCGTGGGGGAGGGAATCCGAAAGTGCGATTGGTTTTAGGTGACTTCGTCTACCCTCAACCCGGCGGCAAACCGGTGACGACAGTATGAACAAACCGAACAGCACGTCAATGACGGTAAACCACCCGACTAAAGGCAAGCAAGACCGCCCGGTCCGTTGATGCTAACCACGGACTCGCGGCACCACACTATGTCTAAAGGACATGGTCGGCATTTTAGTGAACACGTCCTCCGACTCATCGAGCGTGAATCACGTTCCCGCGAGGCCGGTATTAATACCCCGGACATCAGGCCCAATCGATCGACCTAAAATGGCCAGCTTTACGGGGTTTACTTCAGTCTCTGAAGCTGTCAGGCGACCTCGCTACGCGTAACGTTGAGCAGTATATATTTTTCTTATCGAATGCCCCTCCCTCCTTTCCACCATAATGTCGTCCCACTTTTCTCCTTACTCCGTTCGATTTTTGACGAAATATATTTAAGCCAATCGATGAAAACCGCATTTTCTTACTGTCAGTTCGATCTCCTATAGATTATGTTTACTGTATGCGGTGATATAAGCAACTGACGAGTCAACATAAAATCAAACAGAAATTGCCAGGCAAAAAAGCTCTTTTTGACTTCCTTATTCATTCACCCCTTTTTGATATGGCTTGTGTTCTTGAACGCTAAACTTATATGCCTCAAAATTACAAATGCCACCTCTTCCTTTGGGCAAGACATGGAAGAAGATATTCCCTGTATGACGGGTGGTTTTGTGCAAAATTACGGATCTCTTATCCTAACCCTAACACTTACGGAGGACAGATGCTGTCGTTACAACCATGCCGATCCAGCTCTTACCGAGACTGAATGGGTGTCTTCGGGTTCATTACTACACGGAAGGGTCAAAACAAAATTAAACACAGGGAGAGGCGACGCTAATAGAGCCTCTAGTGTGGGAACTTTCTGGGTTTTCGGAACGCCACATTCTTGAAGAGGTCGGCCTGAACCATGGGGTCTTTTATGCAGGCATTTGTGGAAGGCGAGGCCTATCAATGGCGTTTCATGGTCAGAAAGAGCTTCGGCACAACGGCTAACAGAGCTGCTACTGTGTTACGCCGATGATGACTACAGCCTGGCCTCCAACGAAGGCCTTAGAAACAGGTTGAAGGGCCTTACTTAACCAGAATACTCCCTCCGACAGGTCAAATTTACATTACATAAAAGGTGCACATCACCTTACCTTATACTCCTTCCTACAAGCAACACTTTGCTTAGGGCGAACAGATCTTCATTATTAATCATCCATTCAACGCATCAAGGCGTCCAATTTGCGGAATTTATACCCACGTAGGTTGATTTAACGAAATGGGTTCAAATACGTTTGTAAGTTTGAGAATCATCCTCTGAAGCAGATCATTCGGAGGACAAGTACAGAGTCTCGAGCTGAAGCTAATATCCGACAGAAAGTAAACTACCTTCCTTAAGGCTGGGCTGCCAGAACAAAAACACAACCGACAAGGATAGGTTGTGTAACCCCACTGGGTTTAGCATGTATAGGCTACCGCTATATTTGTTTCAGAAGGTCTTGTTTGGTTTATAATTCCACAGTTACAGGAAGTCTCCCTTTGTGTGTTTTCTTCCGGAAACGTACTTAACCCTTTTTGTGTCGTGTCCATATTCACAATACTATTCGTGCTGCAAGGATCACCGGCTGCGTTTTGGTCTACTTTACCTCGGTTAGAACACAATCACTCTGCTTCCTAGGTATCGCCGAGCGGATTCTGTTGTCAACGGATACGCCTGACTTGTTTATTTCTTTAAGAATACTTGTATATAGTCCCTCCTATCAACTATAATAAGACAGTTAGGTTTGGTTGAGGGGTGGGGTTACACAACCTACCGTTTCCGCACACTTGTAAATCTTGTCGGTCCTGAAGAAAAAAACCGTCTGGAAGTATTTTTACCTCTACACACGACTCAGAGCTCGTCTGCATGTCATAAAAACGTCTAATTAATCTAGCAGGTAGATCATTTTGGAGGTTCAGCGCGGTAGCTATTCGGGAAATGTCGTTCATACATCGAGACCGTAGTCAGTAGCACGCTTTAAATTACCTAATCTCCGCATGCCGGAAACCCTGACGAAAAAAGCGCAAACTCCTCGCTATTATACTTTTTGAGTTCGTTAAGCGCGCCATCGCCGGCTGATTGGGAAGAAACGTGCAAGTGCTGAACAGACCACTGGCATCAAGCGCACCGGCTGGGCGTTAAACTAGTCGAGTTCGGTCAAAACAGATCTCGAGATCTTTCTTAGGGAGTTCGAAACCGGTACGGTAGAATGAATGTCAACTTCCTCGACCTCGAACATATGCGTCTTTCCTCCAGAAGCTTGGGGCCTCCGCAGGTGCCATAACAACGACCAACTAGTCAAAATACACCCAAATTATGAGAACCGGAGACTGAAAGGGCTCCCATGGCCTGAACCAGGGTTCAGTGAATCACAAGGCATTGACGTCCTGATCGGACTGATTTACGAGGCTTGCCCACTATCGACTGAGATCTGGAATATAACCATGTAACAGCAGTGTCCACTTGTCTGTGGCCGTTACTTGGCAGAAATAGGCACTCCCGTTCCCATTTGGGTGTTCCTGACCTAGAGCCTGCACGGGCAGCTGTATCGCGACCGTCAATCAATAATCGATTAATTTCGCCGATGACGTCTAGGGACGCGGGGGTGGCCACCAGTCGGTTATAGTCAGCACCTAGGTGTTAGGGCTCAGGCTTATGACACGTCGACAGAGTATATACCGTAACGCTTCCCGGATATACGGTACGGCTGTTGTAGGAAGGCCGCTCCCAGATCAAGTTGCGGGAAGAGTTCGTCCCGTTGCGCGTCGCTACTCAATCTGAAGCTCTCATAGGCAGCCGCATATCGATCAGTAATACACAGGTAGGGAGTATCGCCAAAGGGAGATTGAGATGGCCGAGGTCTAAACTCGGGTTTTGATCTTTAAGTGTTAGGTAGTCCAACTCTCTGTCATTGAGCTAGGGCCCAATAGCCTGTCAGTCGCGAAGGGAAATATTTACTACCGTGGGAAGGGCGTCCACCAATCTGGTTCCGCTGCGATTTGGGGCTCAATTTAGGCGCCTCGCAGGCGACCCCATAGCGACCCCTACTATATATAGACAACGGCGCCAAAAACAATGATCGGATCCCCCTGCCTTCACCGGTACCCCCTGCCTAAGGAATTCTCTCGACTCGAGATTCTGCACAAATAGGTCTCGCATCTTTCCAGAAGTCGCCTGAATCTGTTCATAAAGCGTGCAAGATTGAGCCAAGGAGTTCTCATCCCTCTGCTACGATTATTACGCCAGCAAAAACTATTTCTACTTTTCTTGTATTTGTTGAAAATACTACTCGGCTGTTGAGTATTCGCCGCTACTCGGCGATAACTTTAAACAGTTGTTTCGAGGTATGTGCGTTCCTGGGCTTTAGATAGGTTTCTGGGCTTGTGTCAACGTGAACCTCCATCTTTCTGACCGTAGCCCATGGCGCGTGAAACCATGGACACTAAACCGATAACAGTCCGCCCCTCTCCCCCCCCCCCCCTAGTTATGAGCAGGTTACACTAACAGAAGCAGCATTTATTGGGTACGCTTGTGTACAGTCGAGATAAAAAGCATCGAAATCATAAAAACAGTCATGTATATTGAAGTGCGAGTGGGCATCTTTTAGAAAAATAGTTTGACACGCTTCAACCATGGCAGTCTGTCCCCCTAAAAAAATAAGGACAAAATAAAAAGAACGGTGGGAGAAACGGTGACTGTTAAAGCACAAAACGGGGTTTATATAAGCTCTCTTGAAAGCAGTGAAAAAACGAAGAATGGGTCGTCGACTAAAAGTTATAAAGTGTACACATTTTGCGCTTCTTTTCCAGGCCAGTGGTAGAGCAGAGACTGAATTGGTGAAACACCACTTCAGCCCGATCCGGTCAGTGATGTAGCACTGCTTCAGGCACAGGACGAAGGAGATCAGAAGCAAATAATCCTACGCTGTTGCCCAGATGTTAGTCTGTATTGGGGAACCGACTTATAAGATTCGATCTCTTCTGAGCTAAGTCAAACTTAACCTAGTGTTCCAAAACACAGTGGGTGTCCCCAACTGAGGGACCCGGTGAAAGTATGGTGGCACCCCTAGGCGCAGGCTAACGCCGCCCCAGCCACCTTCGCCTTCAGTTTTCTTAACTCTGTCTTGACAAAGGGCGATGGAGGAGAGTGAGGTGGACGCAGTGCAATTCTTCTGTTGCTACAAACTAACTCACGAGTGGGTCACTTCCTTGCGCCCAACTTGCTGTGAACCATATGGTGGAGATCATCTGTAAAGACGATCGGGTTGATCTTCACTCACGACCGACTGTCTACTTAAATGTCCACAAATCTGTTAGTGATCATTTGTGATAAAGGGTCCCTGGCAAGCCTTACCTAAAGAGGACTGGGAGTATTAGGCGGCCTCCTGGTTCAGGGCTTCTGGACCCAGCCCAGACTGCGCTGGACGGCATTTTTCCAGCCGCGTATCCATAGCTCGCGAGTCTTCTCATTAACCCTTGGAGTGAAAGTATTGGCCTCCTGATCGCTGGGCTCGTGTTGACGGATAGAGAGAAGATGGGTGGGATCAATGCCGACAGATATCGCAGCGGCGACAGCAGCTCCCAGAGCCGTCATCACTTCGGACTTGTTGGGACGTACAACCTTTGCACCTGGAGGAGGAAAAATTCATTTAGTTGGCCGCTCTTTGTGCCCCCTCCCCTGAGGGCTATTGAGAAATAAGAAGTATTGAATTTATTTGCTGACCTGTTATGTCGGCCAAACTTTGCATGAGGACAGGACTTTTGGTCAGTCCGCCGTCGACGGAGATGACCCTGGGAGGTCGACGCTTATCACCGTCAGAGCCGGAGGCCTCGAGGGCAGCCAGAATGACCTCTTGCGTCTGATAGGCTGAGGAGCGATAGCCGGCCGCAATCA